ACCAATGTTGTAAGTATCCACCTTGCTGAGGTGCTATCTTCAAATTACTAACCGACCACGACTTAGTCTGCGATACCGCTATCAGTAATGGAGGTGTGCCCACGCCCCTTACGGACTGCAGTATGGTACTGTGCTTCACCGGTTCACATCCGCGAAACTTCTGATAATGTATATGTACCTCCTTTTTAGGTTTGCGCTGGAAATGCTTCGGAGTTCTGTGGAGGACCAAATCGACTCAACGTGATTAAAATTTCTCTTTAATGTTCGATTTCTCATTGAGCACCCTAGTTATACAACTATACTGGCGACAATCTCCCTCCAATTTCTACTCCCGGAGGTGGCGGAGGTGGAGGGGCCCCCGTTTTCCCGGTCACGTCGGGTCTTCCAACACCTTGGAAATACGTGGCTTGCTATGTGTATGTTTTTTCTCGACATCTTCCCTGTATCCTTTCTCATAGAAGTTTAGTGACAATGCTTTTGGCCGTGTTTTTGAATTTGAACAACCTGACAACGCTGACACGACTGTTGAAGAATGTATCAACCTATGTGCTGGTCAAAACTATACCGTGGCAGGCATCGAATTTAGCGTAAGCCCCTGAATACATTCAACATTTCCATTAGAACATACAGCTGATATGTTTCCATCAGGATCAATGTTGTGAGTATCATTGACAGTTGGTTGTCTTGACCATTCACTAAGGATGTACGCAAATTTCCAACAGTTTGCGGCGATAGACTAGTCAATGGCGCCGTTGTCGCGGACGACTCAACATGCAACATGGGATGCGCTGGCAACGCTACGTTTGTCTGCCTTTCTGACATTAGACGACATATCCTGACGTTTGATTTTTCAAAATTTAAATCTATCAGAGAAGCTTGCGGTGGACCAAACCGACTGTCAGTACATATGCACATTCTTTGCGGGATGTTTTGCTAACGAACAGGATGCAGTTCCGTCTACTCCGAGTTGTCCAATGTCACTGCTCTGCCCGTCCCCACAGTACAGACCACGAATCTCACTGGAGACTGGACATATGCCGGCTGCTACACGTTAGTCGTGATTCGTACTGAAAGTTATGTGGAAATAATAGCCAAACCACAGAGATAACGCTGCTGGAGTCAGGACACTTCCATGGCAGCTCATCCTTACCCTAAACAATTCGGCAGAAGCATGCACTACCCAATGTTCTGCTTTCGGTTACACTGCTGCTGGTATGGAGTTTAGCGACCAATGCTGTAAGCCCTGACTGCCCCCAGTAGCTTCAAGTCTGACCTTTCTTTTCCGACATACAGTCTGTGGTGATATCTCTGACATCGCAACTAATGGTGGGACACTGGTATGTGCTCCTTCCTCTCTCCCTCGTTCAATGCCCCAATCTTAGCCTTCGACAGGCTCCGGAAACTGACTGCAATCAGCAATGCTCTGGAGACCCCATACATCTTTGCGGAGGTACATAGGCGAATTCATCTTTGGGTATACTTTTCGGGGTTCTTACACCGTGGATCTAGGTGGGAACAGACTGCAGATGTACACTTGGAACGGGACTTTGAATGTCTGGCACACACCTGAAAATACTGGCTACTACGAAGTAAGTCCGAATTCTCCGGCATCTTCTATCGTCGGGGCTGGTTGCTGATAGTTTGATAGTTCTTCGGTAAGTGTGACGTGTTGAGACTGATTATGAACTTTCGTTGAGCAGCATCTTAGTTCCCGGGTATGTGCCTTGCTAAGTGCCATCTGTCGTCGTTCTTCGCGCTAATCCCCATCTGTCAAGTGTCGTGGTTCCTTTGATTGCCACCCTCGGTGTCAACAACAAGGTCACATTCCTCGAAAAAGCCGGCACCAGCGAGTAAGCGCTTCTTCTAGCTAGTCAGTAAATGTGATATACATAGTCTGACTTCGCGTTCAGGTTCGACAATTCTACCGGAGCATACGAACTCGATCTCAGTCTCGTTTCAAACTTCTCGGCTGCATGGCGCACCATGCATGTTCAAACCGACGTGTTCTGTTCTGGAAGTGTCATCCTTCCTGACAAGGGCGCGAGGCAGATCAATGTTGGGGGTCAGTACCAGGGCATAGATCGTGGCGACTGATAGAACATGGGTTGAATATCATTTTTTGCTTAGGGTGGTCGCTGGATTCTACCTTTGGTATCAGACTTTACACACCCAATGGTGTACCCGGTATCAATTCGACTAACGACTGGGAAGAAAACTGGAATGAGCTTCATTTGCTGGTGAGTCACTTTGTGCAATTTTCAGTCTCTTCTTGTAACATTTTATTAAACAGGCTGGTCGATGGTATCCTTCCGCTTTGGTACTCTCTAACGGAACCATTCTTGTTATGGGTGGAGAAACGGGCAGTAACGCATCTCCTCAACCAAGTCTTGAACTTCTTCCTCTTCCCGAAGGCTCCGGCACGGTGTTCCTCGATTTCCTCAACAGGACCGATCCCTACAATCTGTATGAATTTTCTACGGAGACAATGATTGCTGATTTGTGACCTAAATTTGCACAGTTATCCGTTCCTTACAATGTTACCCTCCGGTCGGATTTTTGTCGGTGGGGTGTTTCTCATTTGGTTTTTGGATTCAAAATGAAGAGACTCACTCTCCTCCTCGTCTTCCTCATGACGCTCGTGCTAGGTTACTACAACGAGGCTCGGATCCTTGACCCCGTCACGTTCGAAACCGTGAAGACTCTTCCTAATATACCAGGGGCGGTGAATAACTGTAAGGAGCACCTCACAGCCTACTAGTCTCAATGCCCACACTGATTATTTCGATGTAGTCCTTGCAGGCCGAACATATCCTTTGGAGGGTTCGATGATCCCCTTCCCTCAATCCGCTCGTGAGTCCTATCGATATTAATTACTGGAAAAGAAAAGCCAGTAAATGACTATGATTATAATGATTTCTGGTCCACAGCTTACACTGATCCACTTCGGGTCTTGATTTGCGGAGGATCTACTCCTGGACCTGGTATGAAAACTTTCTCGCGACAAAAATTATCATGTTTCCTGATTGGTTAAAAAAAAAACGTGCACTAGCGCAAGTGATTGACAACTGCGTCTCCATCGAACCGGAAACCGAAAACTCTACATGGACGTTGGAGCGTATGGTGAGTTCTTTCTTGTTGAGACTTTTGTTCAGAGCAACCGCCAACTTTTGGAATAATTGTTAGCCTTCCAGACGTGTGATGAGTTGTATGGTGCCACTACCTGATGGTAAGCCTTATACGATCTCGATCTTCTTCTTCTCAGGACGAAGATAACATTCATTACTCGATTCTCAAGGAACGATGATGATCATGAACGGAGCCATGGAAGGCGTCGCCGGCTTCGGTCTCGCATCCGACCCAAACCTAAACGCAGTCCTCTACGACCCCACTCTACCCATCGGTCAACGATTCTCCATCCTCAATTCGACCATCGTCGCTCGGTTGTATCACTCCGAAGCCACTCTCCTACCTGACGGACGAATTCTTGTTTCAGGAAGTGACCCACAAACGCCTGGGTTCCCGGAGGAGATGAGGATCGAGGTTTATATCCCTCCGTATCTCAACCAAGGCATCCGCCAGCCTGAATATAATATCTCTGAAACGGATTTCGGGTATGGTGAGACGTTTGAGATAACGAATGTGGAGGTGTTCCATGGAGAGATTGCTAACGCCAAGGTTTCCATGATCGCAGGTGCGTATCGTGTATCAGAATGATTTGCTTACCCTACGGCATACTAAAGAGTTTTACATCTTTTCGTTTGTTTGTCGCCTCCAGCCACATCAAGCACACACGGGAACGCTATGGGCGCTCGGACAATTTTCCCAGAATTCTCCTGTTCCGGTACGACGTGTACGATAACCACCCCGCCCAACGCGTTTGTCTCTCCGCCTGGGTGGTGGCAACTTTTCGTTTTGGACGATGCTGGCACTCCTTCGCATTCATCGTGGATCAGAATTGGAGGAGATCCGGGACAGTTGGGGAATTGGCCAGATCTTCCTGGATTCACGACTCCAGGGGTTTGAGGGGAGTTGTGAAAAAAGATTTGTAACAAGATTTTGATTCCTTTCGGATGAGGGAAAGTTGTTGCCTTCTTTTTGGTTTTCGGTGGGAATTTTTTGGATGTTTTGTTTTCTGTTCCTAGGACTTTTTTTCCCTCTGATTGTTTTATCAGTAATCTCTCTCGCTCTTCACATATGCTATCCATCTAGTCAACTCCTGTCCTTACCCCACTTGCGATAGCTTCAGTATTATTCTCTCCTTCACACATGACTGAAATACGTAGGTATATATGGCTCGTATCGCTAGTGGCTCTTACTACTCTCACTACTCTCACTACTCTTTTGGGATCGTTCAAATATGGAACAAAAATAATACATCAGGATAGGAATTTTTTACTATTATTTGGGGACCCTCCAGTTGAATGTCTGCGTTCTTAAATTCTGGGGGAGAGAAAAATTGCAAAATATATGGGATGGCTCGACCCGGGCTCGAACCGAGGACCTTCTGTGTGTAAGACAGATGCGATAACCAACTACGCCATCGAACCGTGTGCGATAAATACAACAGCTGCGATCAGGATTGATAACGCTTCGAATCTAAATCTTTTATAGATTTGCTACATTTGCTACTTAATAATGAATCATGATAAACTGTCGATCAATTGTGAGTGAACATTCGAAGGGTTTCCATTAATTTCAATTTTTATTTTAATTCTAAGAGATCTCTGGAAAATCCTGGTAACGTTGATGAGTTGATGTGAGTGAGTTTGTACATACATACCCCCATAACCTATTCTAAGTATTCTAAGTATTCCTGTCGAGGCAAATAGAGCAAAAGGGGAAACGAAAAATGAAAAACAAAAAAAAATTATACTACTTACTCACATAAGTACATACATACATACTTACTTACTACTTACCATCAGTCAAAAACTACAAAAACTCCAAAAACCACCACACTCTGATATATAATACTTTTTGTCCTTTCAGCTCAGCAATTGTGATTCGACCCGGGCTCGAACCGGGGACCTTCTGTGTCCACTCTATATATATATATATGTTAGACAGATGCAATAACCAACCAACTACACCATCGAACCATCGAACCATTAGTACTTAAACAATGTAACAATGTTTAAATATCCGGTATCAGGTTTAAATATCAGGTAATGAGTCTTCAAAGCAATGAGATTTTTCCCAACAGACAATTTTCCCAATAGACAAAGACAATTGGGGAGGGGGGGGCCTTTGGTTATGTACTCCAGCAGAAATATGTCAACAATCAAGTTCTCGCTCTGGGGTAAAATAATCAAAATAATTGAAATAATTTAAAATAGTTAGAATAATTAAAATATATCTGAAATACCTCTAAAAGACAGTATCTAGATTATAAAGTATGGTATGGTAGAAATTTAAGGACCAAGGACCAAGGACCAAGGTATGGGTTATGGGTATGAGTTATGAGTTATAACTTATCAATGCTTGCGTCTCCTCGAGAATGAAGTAAGAGGGCGAAGAGATTCAAGGGGGTTTGGGGACAATAGCATTTATGTATTGAGGTCTAAAGCTCTCGAGGCTGTGCCAATGAAGGGGACAGCCTCAAGCCAAGCTACGGGAGACTAAGTATGGGAAGTAGGCGCAATCTAGCTAATAGGTAGAATAGATATGGTAGGTAGATGCTTGATGTATATGTGAAAGGGAGGAGGGAGGGTGAATTTAATTACGCACAATAATTGTATACACGCTGCAAGCGATGGTGAGAGGACAAATGCTAAACTAGAATATGAATACGTACCTGCGAGCAATGGTGAGAGGACAAGGGTATCTCAGCCATGCTGCAGTATTATATATTATAGGTAGTGACAAAGGAAAATGAGGAAAAAGGGAAAACGAGAAGAAAGGGAAAACGAGAAGAAAGGAAAAGCCGAAAACACGAGGCGTGACGTGGCTCGTTGACGCGTCATAGACCCTGGACATACATACAATGTCCAACCCATCAATGCTTGCGTCTCCTCGAGAATGAAGTAAGAGGGCGAAGAGATTCGAGGGGGTTTGGGGACAATAGCATTTATGTATTGAGGTCTAAAGCTCTCGAGGCTGTGCCAATGAAGGGGACAGCCTCAAGCCATAAAGGGAAGGGAATGTAGGGCCGGAGGCTCGAAAGAGAGTGACTCATGAGGATGTGCCCAATGAAGTTGAGAGGAAATGTGCAAGCGACGTGCTTCGTCGATCTCAATATACAGCTTGTAGGCGTCGCTCCGCCAGCGACCTAAAAGTTGAATTTCGTATTCCGTGAATCCTGCTGCGAAGGCGGATGTGGCGGCTCCACGATGGAAGCTGTGGCCTGAGAAGGCAGACTGGTTGAATCCTGCTCTTTGTAACGCTTGACGAATTCTCTTGATGAATGAGGAGTGATCAAGGGGTGCACCAGTGGCGTTTCTAAACAGGGGATGGGAGGGATTCCAGCCGGGCTGTTTCCGAGGGTCGAGACCGCCAAGGCACTTTTGGAGTGCTGTAACCGCACATGTTGGACGTCCTAGAGCTGCTGCGATGACGACTGTGATCACTTTCCGGAAAGGGTCGGTTTTGGAAGCAGGCAGCATGAGATGAATTCATGTTGCATTGTTGAAGTCCGGGAGGAATTCGAGACATCCTGCGGTGAGGTTAATGGAAGGGTTAAATTTGTCGCTGTTATGTACTGTGAATTCGCCGCATCTGAGGAAGCCTGCGTATGCCATGCATGCAGCTGCAAGGATGTCGCTGTCGCCAGGTACGTTGGTCGGCTGGAGATGGGTAATGAGTTTTGTGAGCACGGGTAATGTGATTGGTTGTTTGGGATTGCGGCCGCGCTCGCCATGGTAACGTTTGATTCCGCGAATGACACGTTGGACAAGGGGCAATTCAGTGGCATTGAAGGGAAGGTCAACATCAGTGTGCATGGACCGGACGTGGGTGAGGTAAGCCTTGATAGTTTTGGGTTCGACGCGTCCACTGAGGTGGGCGACCCAGTGGAGTATTGAGCTCTGGGACGCCAGAAGGATGGACCCATTGTTGTTGAAGAGGTTATGGAGCTGGACGTGGCTGATGAATGATTGTTGTCCTGTGGAATAGGTTTTCCGGGTGCTGGAGGCAAGGCCGTGCCAAAGATAGAACGCAACGGCCTTATTGAGTTCTGGGTACTGGTTGTACCACCAAGATGGAGGCGCTTCGAGCTGGGCTGTTTGTTGAGATATGGTGCCAGTTGGAATAATCGGGAATATGCAAAATGAGAGGCAGCGTCAGCAAGTGAATTCTCAACAGAAGAAAGCCAAACAGAAGAAAAAGAGAAGTCAAGGCGGCAGGAGAGACTGAGAAAGCTTCAGATCAGGGCCATCATGTCCTTCGACGCTATGGTTTGATTGTTGATGCCGTTATATACTGCATCGTTATCGACGTGAAAAACGATGTGCTTGCTGCGAAAGTCGTCACCCCAGCAGAGGATTGCATAGATTACTGCGTACATTTCCTTGACTTGAATATGTTACGACCATGCCAAGTTCAACCCCCGCGGTCCCGACGATCATTTTCCAGTATTTGATCCCATTATTTTCTTCCGTCGCGGAGCTTACCTCTGCGATCCTGTTACACTTCGCTCTTATATCCCTCACACCTTAACCGATTCTTTAAATATCCTTTTATATCGTTCCCTTTATACTTTCCCTTTTTATCTTCCACATGTTCGACCATACTATTCTAGGATACATCGCTTAGCAACCCTTAGGTAGCGACTACAGTATAAAGCTACGAGAGTAGAATAGTTGGTCCTTAGTTTAAATATCGACTTTGATAGTGCACTTTGATAGTGTATCAAATAGAGTTAAATCTCAAACCTCACTCTAAGTACGATCGCGTGAGTTTCTCCCACGATCGGAATTACCCTCATCTTCGCTTTCAGACAGCGGCGTGTCGGGGACGCTATTAATAGTAGCGTCAACGTCCGACGACCCCTCCGTAGGTTCACTTAACCCTCACCGGGAGTTATCTTGGTGTTCGGTCTTTTACCTCGCGGACTTATAGTCCGCGATCCAACTTATCACCTACGACCGTGCATGATCATAACAGAATATGAGCATGACGATAGCGGCGAGGGGTGCGGATTGAGAACCAGCAGGGGCCAAAGATGCCACCTATGCCTTTAGATCCACTCATGTCAGTAAAAATGTGAATTTGCTCATGGTGGGGAGAGAGAAAGTGTATGCCATTCCAGTTTAGTGCAAACGTGGACCACCACTCTATATCACGTCGCGCCGGACGAGGAATGTGGCGCCGGGAGAAGGGGGACATGAACGAGGATTGGAAGTCATAGAGCAATCGAAGAAAGGCGCGAGAGGTAGGTATTACTTGTGAAGCAAACTGCAGATAGCCCGTGAACTCCTGAAGTTCACGAAGTGTACAGTGCATACGCGTCACCCAGGATTTCACAAGCTCTGTGAGGAATTCCAGCTTCTCATTACTGAGGCGGGCCTCCATAGCAATAGAGTCGAGGATGATGCCTAGGAACTCCATACAGGTTGAGGGGCCTTCGACCTTGGTAGGCTGGAAATGTAGTCCTAGCTGTTCACCCAGTGCAAGGACCCAATCGAGTGCTGCTTGAGTGATGTTCGGAGGGGAATCCGAGGGGAAAGTGGCGAGAAAATCATCAAGATAGTGGCGGATATGGGCTGGGATGTGATGCTGTATGATCCAGTGTAGAGCCTCTGAGAAGAGGTTGAAAATGTATGGTGCCGAGCGTAAACCAAACCCAAGAACAACATCATGATAGAATTTGTTCGACCATGTAAATCCGAGCAAGTGCCAGTCTTTGCGTCGGATGGGGATATGGCGGAAGGCAGACTTAAGGTCAACTTTCACCATGAGGGCGCCTGGGCCCGATTCTATCAGGTCTTGGATTGCAGGAAGGATTGTATCGTATGTTATGGAGGCTTCTGAGTCTGGTATTGCGTCGTTGACGGATGACCCACGTGGCCATGAAAGATGATGTATTCGGCGGACTTTTGTGGACCGTTTGCAAGTGATGGCCCTGAGGGGTGAACTGCGAAAGTTCTCAGATGGGTTTGACATGAATGGCCCGGCGGTGCATCCGTCAATGACCTGAGCGGCAATATCATTGGATATAGCATTGGCATGCTCGAATGACAACAAGAGGTTTTTGCAACGTTGAGGAGTTGTGTGGTCCCCAGTGAATCCAATGTTGGCGCCACAGCGGATGATGTGGAGAAGTGAATTAATGAACGTCCGGTCGGGATAATCTTGAAGATGGTGATCCCAGGTGGCTTCATTCAGAACACTTGAAATGGATGTAATGGAATTATTATATGGATATGAATTACAGCGTGGGTCAGTATTAGGTCGAATTGGAGGTAGGTTTAGTTTAGGGAAGAGATCATTATGCGGAAGCAAAAATCTGTCTAAGGGCGAGCAAGGAGGAAGACTGGTGATGGCAGAACCCCCTTCCTCGCTGGGACCCTAGGTGCACTTATGGTGTCAGCGACTCGCTAGCTCTCAAGATGCCAGGTGTAACCGCCCGAGGGGTCAGAGACCCCAGGGTGGTTATGAATTGGGCTGGCCCAGCAACCCCCAGGGGGGGAAAGAGCTGGTTACCAGCTATGGAGAGCCTCAGAT